GAGCTCTTAATGGACAGTTAGCCCCAAAGACTCGTACTTACAAGTAGGATACTAGAATTATAATACTATAAATAAAAGGAACTCAAAATTTGATGGTATAATAATGTGTATTGAATTATTCACGAAAATTGTTGGGGTGGACGTCTCCACAGTATAAATAACAATTATAAACGCCGTCAAACACAGGTTTTGCGTACGTATACAAATAATAAATTTAAATTACAATAAATTAAATAAGGCCGTAAGTAGGTCACGGGGACACGTATATCCTACAATAATAAATACAAATAATAACGATACGACCGTGATATGTGTGAAGATAATGAGCAATATTGATAGTGATTTCACCGTCCGGTCGACCAGACAGTAGTACCGCGATTTTGGAGGTTGATAAGTCCAACGACACTTGTTCGATGACGACAATGTTGTACCAATCGGTTTCGAACACGTGCAACCACGTGTAAATCCAAGTAACGGACGCCCGACGCACTATATTGCACAGTGCACCGTGCCAACCTCAGTCCAAACGACTGCGGAATTGGATCCACGTATCCACCGAATAACTCGCACACAGTAGGTATTACGATTGCAACACGAAGCACAAACTCGAGACGCCGCGGTAACGCCAGAACGCACGCGAAGTTCAACAATTAGTTACGCGGCAGTGCGGCTACGAACATGCCAGACGTACGGCAAGAGAGACAACAACGAACAGGCGCCGGCGCCGGACACACGGCGGGCGGCTCGGACGGACTTTGGACGCAATACGGACGCCATCGGCGTCCGTCGGTTCGCACCGCAGGTGACATAATGCGTACCTATCTGTCAACCGCGGATTGGGTACATCATTAGTGTTCTCACGAAGACGGCCAGATATATGAGTCGCGAACACTGGTGTTTATACTTCATGGATACCTCTTTTTTTTATTGAAATCTTGTAAATAATTTAATAAACCAATCGGGTACCCATCACTAGTATTAATTTTATTATATTACGTGTAAAATCACCGGCACAAGGTGCAGACTTCATTTTAAAAATTAAAAAAATAAATAAAATATAAGAAGCTGGGAAACTATAGTTTATTCTAATTTATAATCCAATAAATAATGTAACCGGGAATGAAACTATTATATTAAATTAAGAATAATTAAAAAACATTTTGTGAAACAAACAAGATTACTGCTAATATTTAAGTCTTACTTATTATTAACAAGTAAATACCAACAATAGATATTTTTATAGCTTTTTACTATTGACAATTAGGGTAAATAGTTTTTTATCGACTAATAAATTAGGACCTATTCTACAAAATAATTATTTATATAAAAAAATTTTAACAATTTAATGCAAGGATTCTCATAAATTGATCATACAGCAGTCTTAAAACACCAAAAATACATTTGTACATATGCACACCTACCAAATAAAAATTTTACATTTTAGTTCCCTATTATGGTGTAGATACTAATACAAACAATAAATTATTATTTGAAAACACATCGTATAAGTACCTATTATTATTTACTAAATACCTACAACTAAAATAAAAATAAACATTTGATTACATTCTAAATGCCTGTAATATAATATTATATATAAAAATTGAATTTTTAATACGAATACTTATCGTTTACGCAATCACAGGGAAAAAAAATTAAAAAAAATTGAAGAACACATCATTGTAATATTAATACAGTCATCGATCCACCCAGAATCCCAAATCTAAAATATATCCGATAAGTTTTAAAATTAAAATATTTAATCATTATTATTAATTTTGTATTCAGCAGTTATAATTATAGACTTGGAAATTTACAGTCTATTTGGTATTATAGTCGGTAGGTACTGTAAATTTGATGCATTTACTGAGTTCCTTTATGTTAACTTTAAAATCCAGTAATCACATTTTTATTTAATGGTTCATAAATTACAATATGCTTTTATAAAAATATGCTTGTACTTCTGCAGATATCTATTCTCCATCTTGATCAATAATTAAATTAATATACGAAAATAGTAATTTAAATAATACCTAAATCATATTATTATAATTCAAATTAAAAATTATAAACTGTTTAGGTTTATTGTCGTATCAATTTTCAATGAACAAATTGTTCCTTAACACGGAACTCTTTGTTATAAAAAGTTGCATTACATTATATCCGTGGATCCATCATATTGACGTTCCCTAGTCTATATATATAAAAATGAATGTATGTCAGTGTGTCAGTGTGTCTGTGTGTCTGTGTGTCCATGTTACCATGGTTACCAAGGTTGCCATGGTTACTAAGGTTACCAAGATTTCATATCAATTATATAATATTTTGAAACTTATGGACCTTTTAGTTTTTAAATAGTTACCGTGGGTTTCAAAGCTATAATAATAATAGTTATTGGTTGCCAATGGTTTAACACGTTTGTTATTTATTATAGTGCCTAACGATTCATTTTTATAACTGAATTCAATTGCAACTATTATAAGAATTTCTACTATTATTAGTTAATTTATTATGCCCAACAACAAACGATCGATAAATAGTCCCGCAGTTCTAGCACGCAAGAAGCGGGAAACACGAGCCGCGGAAACAGACGAGCAAAGAGAAGCCAGGTTGAGGACCAACCGAGAACGTCAGTCCCTGGCCCGCTTATCCGAGCCAGACGAGCAAAGAGAAGCCAGGTTGAGTACCGACCGAGAACGGCGGTCCCGGGCCCGCTCATCCGAGCCAGACGAGCAAAGAGAAACCAGAGTGAGGACAAACCGTGAATGTCAGTCACGGGTCCGCTCATCTGAGACAGACGAGCAAAGAGAAGCCAGGTTGAGGACAAACCGAGAAAGTCAGTCTAGGGCGCGCTCATCCGGGACAGACGAGCAAAGAGAAGCCAGGTTGAGGACAAACCGAGAATGTCAGTCACGGGTCCGCTCATCTGAGACAGACGAGCACCGAGAAGCAAGATTGGGGACCATGCGAGTAATGGGTGCTCGATCCAGACGAACCACCGAATTGAACCTTTGTGCACTACACTATGATGCCGATATTAATTACAGCACCCACCCAAGCGTGGCCATCGGAATAATGGATGTACCCTGCAATTATTGTGGAGCATTTAAGTTTAAGAATGAAGCCCCTGGAATGTGCTGTGCTCGGGGTAAGGTTAAACTGCCAGCCCTACATGCACCACCCGAACCATTATCAACGTTGGTGGCAGGCGATACGAGCATATCGAAACATTTTTTAACAAATATCCGTCGATACAATTCGTGTTTCCAAATGACTTCATTTGGGGCAACGAACGTCGTGAGGGATAATTACATGCCAACATTCAAGGTGCAAGGTCAAATCTATCATCGGGCTGGATCATTATTACCCCTGCCAGATATGGAACCTAAATATCTCCAAATATATTTCATGGGGAATAGCGATGACCAAATCGATCAACGTTGTACCCACAATGCGGGCACGAGACGAGAAATTGTCGCTGCATTACAATCTCTATACGATCAACACAACGAATTGATCCGTTTGTTTAGAATTGCCCTTCACCGAATGCCAGCCGATGATTACAGGGTTGTAATACGAGCAGACAAAACACCCCTCGGTCAACACGAGCGCCAATACAATGCACCTACAATTGATGAGGTGGCGATCATTATGGTTGGAGATGAATTCAATTCCCGTGACATAATTCTACATCGCAGGGATGGAAACTTGCAAAGGGTCGCGGAAACTCATCGCTCATATGACGGATTGCAATATCCGATTTTATTTTGGCAAGGCGAAGACGGATATCATTTCAAAATTAAATTGAGAAATCCGCAAACAGGGGAGGAAACGAATAAGAAGGTCAGTGCCATGAAGTACTATTCGTATCGCTTGATGATTCGGGTAGGCGTCGAAAATCATATCTTGAAATGTAGACAATTGTTTCATCAATATATTGTCGATATGTATGCCAAAATCGAAACCGAGCGTTTACTCTACATTCGGTTGAATCAAACCACGCTGCGTTCGGAAGAATACATTCATTTACGTGATGCCATTGCTATTGATGGCAACGTGAATCCTAATGATTTGGGAAATATGGTCATTCTCCCGGCTACATTCACGGGTAGCCCAAGGCACATGCATGAATACGCGCAAGACGCCATGACATATGTTCGCGCTTATGGCCGTCCAGATCTGTTCATTACATTCACATGTAATCCTACATGGGACGAAATAAAATTACTATTGTTGCCTGGCCAATCTTCTTCGGATCGCCATGATATTACCGCACGAGTGTTCAAACAGAAGTTGAGATCTTTTATGGATTTCATTGTTAAGCATCAGGTTTTTGGAGAGACACGCTGTTGGATGTATTCCATCGAATGGCAAAAACGGGGATTGCCCCATGCACACATTTTAATCTGGATGATCACAAAATTAACACCAGATATAATTGATCAGCTTATTTCTGCAGAATTACCCGATGGCGACGGAGACCCAGTTTTATTAGAGGTCGTCACAAAAAACATGATTCATGGTCCATGTAGGGCACTCAACCCTTCCTCACCATGCATGTCTGATGGGAAATGCACCAAGCGATACCCGAGAGCTTTGGTTAGTGAGACCATCACCGGGAATGACGGGTATCCACTCTATCGTCGACGATCAACCACGGATGGCGGCAAATCTATCACTCTAAAAGTACGTAATATTGACGTCGAAGTTGATAATCGTTGGGTTGTACCGTATTCACCATTACTCTCAAAGACGTTCAAGGCACACATCAATGTTGAGTATTGCAATTCTGTGAAATCCATCAAATACATTTGCAAATATGTCAACAAAGGGGGCGGTGTTTGGTGTGGAAAATAGAACTAGAACTATCGATGAAATAAATCAATATCAACTCGGCCGCTACATTAGTAGTAATGAGGCAATTTGGCGCATATTATCATTTGAAAAAGTTTCAACGTCGCATACAGGGCAAGGCAGTGGAGGGGCACTCAGGTTTATATATGACCGATGCGTTAGGCCGTTTATACACAGTTCATCCAAACAATTTGGAATGCTTTTACTTGCGCTTACTGTTAATCAATGTACGTGGGCCGACATCCTTCGAAGAATTGAGAACGGTGGACGGGCGGGTTTGTGCCACGTATCATGCAGCTTGCCAAGAGTTACATCTTCTTGAAAACGATGCCCATTGGGATATTTCACTCGCTGATGCATCGAATATTGCTCGACCACGGCAAATACGCTCTCTATTTGCGATAATCTTAACAACGTGCTTCCCATCAAATCCAAAAGACCTTTGGGAAAAATACAGAGACTACATGAGCGAAGACATTTTACATCGATTGCGTACTACGAATCAAGTTCCGGACATTCGTTTTTCCCCCATTGTGTATAATGAGGCATTAATTGAGATTGAGGACATGTGTTTGGAAATCGTTAACAAAGCTCTGGTTCAACTTGGACTGCCTTCGCCGAATCGATCCATCAACGGCCGTTTTAATCGAGATTTGCAACGTGAGCCACAGTTTGACGACGCCGAAATGGGTAGATTTGTTCAAAAGAATCTCCCAAAGTTGGTTACTGAACAACGTAATGCGTACGACAGAATTATGCAGGCAATCAAAAGTAAAAGCGGAGGATTGTATTTCCTGGATGCGCCCGGGGGCACGGGCAAGACTTTCCTAATCTCAATAATTTTGGCAGCGATACGCTCCCAAAACGATACTGCACTGGCTATGGCATCTTCAGGAATTGCAGCAACTCTTCTGGAGGGTGGGCGAACCGCGCATTCAACACTGAAATTACCGTTGAACGTACAATTCACGGAGAGACCAACGTGCAATATCACTAAAAATTCAGGAATCGGGAAAATCCTCCGATCATGTACGATCATTGTGTGGGACGAATGTACAATGGCGCACAAAAAATCATTAGAAGCCCTTGATCGCACCCTAAGAGATTTAAGAGGAAATTCTGGCCTATTATTCGGTGGTGCACTCATTTTGCTGTCCGGTGATTTTCGGCAAACTCTACCGGTAATACCACGTTCAACCCCAGCAGATGAACTCAATGCATGTCTCAAATCTTCAGGTTTGTGGCTGCACGTGCATAAATTGAGCTTGAAGACTAATATGCGGGTACAACTACGGAATGAGGCATCGGCAGATTTGTTCGCAAAACAATTGTTAGATATGGGTAATGGCTTAATGACCGTCGATCAATCAACACAATGCATCACATTGCCGGCCGATTTCTGTAAGATCACGGCTACCGCAGATGAGTTAATTGCAAAGGTCTTCCCGAATCTGCCACAAAATTACAAAAATCTTCAGTGGCTCGGTGCCCGGGCCATATTGGCAGCCAAAAACATCGATGTGAATGCTATCAATTTCAGAATTCAAAACAAGGTACCAGGCGAATTGAAAACTTACAAGTTCATAGACACTGTAACGAGTCAAGACGAGGAAGTCAATTATCCACCTGAATTCTTAAATTCGCTTGATTTGCCAGGCATGCCACCGCACGTTCTATCGTTGAAAATTGGCGTTCCCGTCATTCTTCTACGAAACATCAATCCTCCACGACTCTGTAATGGTACCAGGCTTTCGGTAACGAAATTGATGAACAACATTATCGAGGCTACAATTTTAAACGGAAAGTTTATGGGCGAATATGTAATGTTGCCCCGAATCCCAATGATTCCTACGGATTTGCCCTTCACGTTCAAACGTTTGCAGTTTCCGGTGCGAATCGCTTTTGCCATGACCATCAACAAGGCACAGGGCCAATCACTACAAGTGTGTGGCCTAAATTTGGAAAATCCATGCTTCTCCCATGGACAGCTGTATGTTGCCTGCTCCCGCGTCGGGAGACCGGAAGATTTGTATGTGTACGCCCCAGATGGTAAAACGAGAAATATTGTATATCAGAATGCCCTTCTGTAGTTGGCAAGCGTGAACCTGGGCACAAATGATGGGTAATCCCTTTTTGATTATGTTAATTAACGTTTTGAGATTAATATAATCCGTAAAATACATATGGAGTAGGTATTTTTAATGGGCGACGAGGTGCACGGGTTCAGCTAGTATAATATAATATCTAATTTCATTTATATTCTATGGCAAATCTCAAATCGTTGCAGAAGACACAGTCGATTAAAAATTCTAAAATTTCAATGAGCAAAGCACACATTAGTAAAAAACTTACTGCGTTCCGTATAATTTTATTTTTTATAAATCAAAATATTTAAAGTTTTATTATATTTTGGAGTGTTTCCTCATCGGCGTCACAGTTCACACACGTCACGGATTCCTCCGAAAGAATCGATAATTAAAGTAAGTTTGTTTTCATATTCTTTTGGGGCTTATAATTTCACTTTAATTTTTTCTAAAATGCATAGTAACAAATAAATCTTATTTCGCTATGAAAAAATAATAAAACGTGAAATATTTTAAATTTGCGTGAAATAATTTATCATGATTATAATTTATAACCACAATACCAGCTACTATTTTTAAATTACAACAAAATAACTAAAATCGTTATTCTTTGTTTTAATAAGTAATTTCGTCCAAATTTGAACTTATAATTTCTATACAAATTAACTGTGTTTTTAATAGATTATTTATGAGAATTCTTGTTTTACATTTTCAATCCTTAGCAATAAAAGTTGAACATTTTATATTTTTTTAACTACTAAATAGAAATTTGTAAATAATCAATTTGATAAATTATGTTAAAAATTGAACTTTAATTAGGTATTTATTAAAAAACCGTGCCTATGGATTTTATTGTTTCTCAACTGCTATTATAATAACTACTTATGAGGAAACTTTTATTACATTTTTATATTATGGGTAAACAAAGAAATTTGTGTATGTATCTGACAACAAAATATTTTGAAAATTGTCAAGATTATGATACATTTTGTAGAAATTTGAACTTTAAATGCCTATAAAAAAAAGGTGCCTATGTAGGTATTTCTAATATTTTTTAACTCCTATTATAACAACTTACGAGGAACTTTGTGTGGTTTTTATGCTTTTTGACCCAACGAATAACATTTTATTGACATTTATAGAATACAGAACTAATAACATTTCATAATTCAAATGTCTATAAACCACTGAAAAAGAGACGAAATATTTTATATTGTATAGAAAATTATAGTTTAAACATTTGATGGACATTTTAAATACCGACGGTTAATAGGAGTTGTTGAATAACGACAAAATAAGAAAATCGTTATACGAGAATCTTTGTAAAATCAACACATTCATTGCTTCCGTAGTCAGCTCTTAAATACAAACTAACACATAATAGTTAGGTAGGTATAGGTATAATACAAATTAAACATTATACATATAAAATATGATATCCTTAACGCTTAGGTCATAACTCATAAGAATATCTGAATATTGTTGAACATTTTACTGCAGGTTGCGTGTTATTTCAGAGATGATATTCGTCAGTCAAGATTTGCCAACTGTGTATAAAATATAATAAGCAGAATGAAATGTGTGAACGTTGCAGTGTTTGGAGGACTAAGTTTGATAGCAGATTTTGATTCGGACACGGGGTATGTATTTTCTTATTTTTCAATTATTTGTATTGTAACTATACTGGTATAACACTATTCTGGCTATCAATAAAGTCGTGATAAAAATTAGGAAATTGGTCAGATATGATATTTTTTGGAATGTAATTATTTTGAGTAGGTAATTTGCCCAATTAAATTTAAATATTTTCACCGATAATCAAGTACGATGATATGACTTGTAGGTAACTAGAGATTGAGTGAATAGAAAGTGTGTGGTATGGCGAAAGATGAAAAATAAATGTAAGGTTAGGGTAAGTAAGTGGAGTGAGAGTAGCAGATATGAGAATGTTAAGTTTTTGGCCGAACTTGTATAATTGTGTAGGTACTTGTGTGAGAAGGGGTAAGAAGAAGTGTGAAGGTAGAATAGTTAGGCTAACAATGTCAAATACGTAGGTAAGGAATTAAGTATACCCAGGGCCGGATTTAGGAATGTGGGGGCCCTGGGCCCACCTTTAGAAGTAGATATTTTTTTCGATTAAGTACATAATATATTTAATAACCAGAATTTTGGTTATGAAAAAACAATGATTTATCGCCTGGTCGGACAGTCAGTTATATTCGACGGACACTTAATTTTTTTACAAATTTTTCAAACACAAATAAAATTTGAAAACAAATTTAAAAAATATATTCCAACAGTTATTAGATAAACTTCTCGTGTTTAATTTGGTATAAAAACTATGTTTCTACGACTTACGAGGCCTGAGTACTATTGGAACTACGAAAACATGTTTTTACGATCTATTTTTTTCTACCTACAGTGACGGCTCTTAACTACTATCGTACGTGCAGGAACAAGTTGTTATTAAACTATTATATTATAGATTATTAAATTATAACTAGGTTTTTATCGAGGTGATTTTGAAAATCTATTTTTCCAGCTGTGCTATCAATAAATATAAAAAACGATATTTTTTATTTATATTTTTAATCGTGACACTAACAATTTTCGGAATATTAAAAATCACCACGATAAAAACCTAGTAGGTTATCTCGTTAATCAATCTTAATCCTTTTTCAAAATTGAAATCTGTCAAACCAAATTACTACAGTTTTGTCTAGATTTTTGGTCTAAATGCCACTTTTTTACACAGATAGCAGCCCCCTTGATTGAAAATCGTCGAATTACTAAATTTAATTTAATAAAAAATACATTGTACCTACTAACCTGGATAAATATCACGATCAAAATATACTTTATGGTTGAAGCGTGAAAACTGAGTGTACCATCTACCTATTTGTTTTTATTTAGAACTTATTCAGCACGCATTTATTTATAACAGTCCACAGCGGACGACTTGCTATACAAGTTATAATATGTGTTTATTTATAACTGTTTTTAATTAAAATATCTACAAGTCTACAAGATAATAATAACATAATAATCGATTTTAAATTCACATTTGTAAGCTAGCTACTCACTTCTATAAATTCATTAGTTATTAAATATTAATAATAACATTTATTTATAAATTTATGACAATATCAATGATTGAATATTTTTATTCATGTTGTGATTTAAATCCGTTTTGAAAATGTTATATTGTGTTTTATACAATATACTTGGATGTAAAAAAAACATTTAGTGGGGGCCCTCAATTTGTGGAGGCCCGGGGCCCCCTGGGCCCCCCCTAAATCCGGCCCTGAGTATACCTAAGTGATGTATTACATTTCAGCCAATTTCATATTACAGAGTATAGTTCAGTAATAACGAAATTATTAAAATACATTTCTCGTAGGTACCTACAAAATTTATTCCGACTTTCTTATAACAACATAATGTCACATTGTCTCATACTTTATGTGACTATTTTTAGATTCTGAGCGGAGTGATGAATGTATTGATTTTACGATAATGTGTGTGTTTTTTTTAAAAAAAATCTTTTTTCGTCTGTTAATACCTTTTAGGACAGTAAAAGTGCTTAGATTTTGTTCAACCAGTGCCGCAACTTGGTACATATTGGTGGGTGTGCCACCAAATATATAGGGACCATGTACAGAGGCGCAACTATGGGGAATAATTATCCCCCTCCCACTGACTACGATTTACACCCCTCGAAAAAATATTCCTTATTTATTTATAAGATATAAACCGCTTATAGGTTATTTTAAATTAATAGTTTTGTTAGGTGGGCTGTACCCCCCCCCCCAGAATTTTAACCCTAGTTGCGACTATGCTCATGTACAATTAGGTCATTAAATACATATTGATTGTTGTGTTTAGCTTTTGTTACAAACCTTAAAATATTATGAAGTTAATATAATATAGGTACACTGCAATACTGCTTACAGATAGGTGAAGAGCACTGAACACATTGTACATTGTAGTGATTGTACACAGATAGGTGAGGAGTGAGGAGCAAAGTGGTATGCGGCCCTTAAAACCATTTAATTTCTTGTCCCAATTTAAATGCAATAAACCATCAGCCATCACAAAATGGCAAAATTAAGGAATTTGAGAATATGATTATTTTGGCGGTATAATTCAGCCCCCTGTCATTCGAAATTATTATTTTTATTATTTTGTTATAATTGTAGTTAGGACTTTGTTTTATATTATAATAAATATTAAATAATAATAATGAAATGATTCCAATGTATCCATTAGTTTCATTTATTTCATTAGAAATATTTTGATAAAATAATAAGATAGTAAGATACCTGCACTTGGTAATAACATATTTTATTAAACAAATATTTTTTTAATTATTAGTAAAAAAACATGCTAATCGATGGTAGATAAATACGATTAATTTATTAATATTATTAATATAATAATAATATTATATTTTTCACAGTGTATGCAGTGTAGATGCTAAACCTAAGTCTGGTTGTGGTTATAGTAATTATATTATGGGAAATTGGGATTTATCAATAATATTTCGTGATTTCCTATAAAACTACAAAAAGGGAAAATATGTTTTGTACACTCGTTGACGTCTAATATGTCGTGTCTTGACGATGAGGGTTGCACGGCGATAACTAATAAAGATGCTAGTCACTAAACATAAGTTAATAATATATAATAACCTTCTACTTTCAAATAAAGAATAAATATTTTAAAAGAAAAATGTTTCAAATAATTCAGCCACGGGCCCCGGGCCCATTGTTATGATTTAACGGGGGCCCGGTGTTCTTTGCACCCCTAGGAGGTCTTCAACAGTATCTTTTCTGATAGGAAAGTGAATCTAGTTGGTATTTTGGGGGGTAAAAATTGAAAATTTTAAAAATCCATAGTCACAATTTTTTTTTTTTTACAAGCATTTAAAGTTCAAATATTGACAAAATACGTAAAATTCACGAAAATGGGCAAATTATTTTGAGTTAGAAATTCCTAAAATGTTT